AAGCTAGCTAGCTTCCCAGTGATTGTACTTACCGCAAATCCTCGACAAGATATCAGAGGAGGTTTCAAACTAGAAAGAAGACTTTATATTGCTTGTAAGAGCTCTGACATTGTGTTCTTCAGGTGGTGGAAGGCAAACAATGAGGGAAAAGGGAAGAGGAGGAAGAGAAGTGAAGAGACAATGGGTAAAAATATGGGAGACCCAATGGTCAGCCATGAAGTGAGTCCACAGTTTAGCAAAGAAGAAAACAAGTGTCCTCATAGGACCAGAGCTGACCAAGTACAAAGAGAGGTAGTCACAGGTGGGGTGGACAAAGGCTAACCCTATGGGAGGGGGGTGAGAGGAAGTGGATGGATGGAAAGAGGAAACACAAAGAAGATGAGGGTACATTGGCCAAGGAACATGAGGAGATGCACAAAAATAGGAAAGAAGTGAAAGAAAAATGATGGCAAGCAGCTTCCACCTGAGACTCCAAGGTGAGAGGAACATCCCAAAAACTTTGTGGCAAGACACAAGCCACAACGGGAGGATTGAGGAAGGTGAACAACAAAGAAAAGGGAGTCATGTCTGAATAATAATAAAAACCCTATAACCCTAGTACTTTTGAAAGGTTGACCTTTCTTCTTCAGGGGCAAACAGGGAAGGGCGGTGTAGTTGAATGAGTGATATATGAAGGGAGTTGAGTGCTGTCATGAAGGTCATCCACTTTTCCAGAAAATGTCTGAATAAATTTCAAATACACAGAAACCATACAAAGAGAAAGAGAGCCAGTAATGAGACATTGGCCTAAGTAGAGAAAATATCTATCTGGAACTTGGTGGAGAGCCTCAAATAGGAGATGAGAAAAAAACAGATAGCAAAGGGATAGAGCGAGGAGAAGTGAACTCTGGTAAAAAAATACTGAAGACAGAGGATCAGCACCTAAGCAGGCAGAAGGGATTCTAGGAATTTAAGATCCAAAAATGCTGAAAGGAAGTGATCATATGCTATGTTAAAAAAATCATGAAAATGAGGAGAATAAGGCATGGAAAAGTGGGAATGATGCTGAGACAAAAAATATCTCAGCATGGATACTAGAGTCAGGTGAAGGGGGAAAGAATAAAATTACAGCATGGAATAAATAACATGAAGAAACAAAGGACATAGGAGAAAGGGAAAGCATACTACAAACCTAACACAATCAGCAAAGAGAGAGAAAGGAATGATGCATTTTTCAACAGCAAACAAAGAGGCCGGAGCAAAACCATGCAGTGGAAAGAGCTGGATAGAAATGTTGACCTTATGATTTGGCTTAGGAATGAAGAACTTACAGGAAATAAGAGAAACTGTAAAGGTAGGAGAAAACCATTAATGGTGAAAATTGGCAGTAACATCTTCCACAGACAAAGAATATCCAGAAGCAATAAACATTGCAGAAACTGTGAGGAGTTTTGAGACATTATATTGCATGGTCTCTCAAGTTCTGCATACAAACACAATAGAGGACATTATCTAGTCTCATTCTAGATAGAATTTTTGCTTCATAAACAGGTCAAAAACCCTGGGAGGATGAAAGTTGGCAGGACTGAAAAACAACATGAAAGGGAACCTTAACACAGCTTGTAGTGTATCACTGTTCCAAAAGCTACAAAAGTGAGAAATTGAGTTGTAAGTTTCAGGAAAATCATAAGAAATAGTCAGAAACTACAATAATAAAGATTACTAAACCAAGTCAATCACAATGGATGTGAAAAATCTTTCAAAATCAAAGAGCAAAATGAAACATATTTGTTGATGGCATTGCCAAGTTTAAGAATGATGTTAATTTCAAGTGCCAGTACTTATGGGGATGTATTGTGCATTTCAGATGTGTTGCTCTCCTACTGATGGAGGGCTATTGCAGCATTATGATTATATCATGTACTAGCATAGTTCTCATCAAAATGTGACTTAGGTGGGAGATTGTTCAAGGCTGGTAGCATGCAAGAAATAAGTGGAAAATTACTCTTTCCTTTTAAAAAATTTCTGGAATATTTATAGTGTAATAATTTATTTGTCAAATACAAACACTTTTAGGCAGTTTTAAAAGATCCACTAATCTATAATGGATTTAGATATTTTTTATTATAAATTGTTTTAAATAAACTTAATTGCTATACATGCTTCAGTAAAAAAGGTTCATTTCAATATAAATTCCAACATAAAATAGTTTTTGAAAGAAGGAAAAATAAATAAATACAGGTTTAAAGGAAATTATGATCCATATGTAGTTGTTATCAATATTTTCTAAAAAACTAAATACTGTACACTAGTCTTAACTTGAGAATCTTTCTTTAAAATATATATCACAACAGTTTATTTACACATACATGGTGGTCCGAAAATGAGTTTTCTGCAACAAATAATCTTGTGTGTGAACAACACTTTGTTTCTGGCACCAAAACTTAGTTTTTTGTTAGTCTGTGTGTAAGACTTGTATAGAGTTCAGATGTACTCATACACTAAGATTTGAAACAGATGAAAGTTTGAAAGAATTGCTACACTGGTTTGTGGGAAACTAACTTTTGGACCACAAGGTATAAACATACTCAAATCTACAGGTCTTCAAGCCTTTTAACTTGCCTTCATTGGATTATTCTTCACATCTTCCTCCTCTTCTCTAGCCTCTCTTTCTGCCTGCTCTTCAGCCAATTTCAAAGCTTGAAAATTCCGTGTAGCTCCATGTTCAACTATGTAGTCTGTATTAGCAGGGTCTGTCTAAACATTAAAATAACAAACAGATCACATTTATAGAAATACATGAGTATAACTTCATTGATAATTTCAAAAATTTAAGTGTCACTTAAAATCTTTTCAAATTTACCAGTAGTTGAACTTTCCTGAGCATAAATTGAGGCCTTCAATGAATAAAACCAAGTAACTTAGAAATAACTATCTTTACCTCAATTGTCAGTGCTAAATATAGCAGCTACCTGTTTAAGATTTAATGAATGGACCTTAATACTAAGAAATTGTGTAGCTAATAATTAAGATAGTGCTAACAAAGCTAGAAACTTGTAAAATCTTTTCCAAAAAGCAAAAAAAATCTTGTTAATGTGTATGGCAGACATGCACTTTCCTTACTGATAAAACACCAGCAAAATACAAAAATGGCAGTTATATAATAAACAAGTTTTTCTTTGTATACTCAAATTACAAGTTGTTTTGAATATAACATTACAAAATATAACCACCAAGTCCCGCAGAAAGTTTGTATACCTGAGACAAGAGTGACTTTATGAATTTTTTTTTAAAGGTTGTTATATATAAGTTTAGAGATAAGATTACCCTGTTCATTAATTGCGAACCTATAAATGTCACATTTCTATCCAACAGAAATAGTTTTATGATATTTTTGGTAAATATCTGAATAGGTTTTGATTTGAGAATAATATGGCAGGTTTCAGCTTTTAACACACTGTAGAATTTATATAAACTTTCTTTAAATTTTTAATTTCAAAACACATTTCCATCCTAGATCTTACATAAAAAAGGTATAACCAAACATCTGGATACTTTTCAGCATTAACCTCACTTTTTATATCTCAAATTGACACAATAAAGTCCATCAATTTAAAAAATCATAAAATACAATGATAGATGACAGAAAATAGAGCAATTTTACCAATATATATTAGAAATTGTTTAAGATGGCTACCTATGAGACTTGTGAATGATTATTGATGGAAAATAATAAAATAATTTCTCGTTGAACCTAAAAAGCCTAAATTTTTGAAACCCATCTTATATAAAAAAAATGTTTAAAAGAATTTGATGCATAGCACAAGATAATGCAAGTGCTGGAGCACATCATTATGCAAGTATTACATATGTAGTAAAGTATTACATACGCAAGTATTGACAAAATTCATATAATCATCATTATGAAAAATACTTGTATTATCTAAATGTATATTTTATTATAATCAATGCTTTAAATGTTTTGCATTATATATCAGGTATGTTTTTAAATTTAATAGTAGTAAAAAGATACCTGAAAACCCAAAATTAAAGAATTAACATTACCATGAAAATACAATGATTTAAATATTCACAATAATAACTACTAAGTACAAAGAACAACAAAACAGTGATCAAAGCATTATCTTTGATATATATATACCTGTACAGAAGGTTGAGCATGTTATAATAATATGAGTTTTTAAACATGCAAATCAGCAACTCATGTGGCAACAACAGAAAGTCACGGTAGAAAAAAATGTTCAAGAACTACATTTGGGCATCATTTGGCCATTTCATAGGTACTACTTTGTCACGAAAAATTGTTTTTGAGAATGATATGTAATAGCCCTTTTCAACAAAAAATAATCATAAAATGACCTATGTTTAGACCTGGGATTTAGAATTTCCTAGCTGGGTATATGGCTTTTACTTAATGGCACTGGAAAACAAGGAATATGAATAGACTTGGGAGACCAGGATCAATTGGAAGGAGACTTGTAACAAGTTTTACCCTAGCCATGTCAAGAAAAGTGTAGCATTTTGTAACATGTGAGAATCCACAAAAGCCATTCATGTGCAACAGTACATAACAAAATCAAAAAGCATTTCTGTTTAGAAAAGTAACACAAGTCATGTGTACACAAGTTGATCCCATGACATATCCAGGAAAGGAAGACAAACTACAGATATCTGTATGAATGGTAGAAATCAGGAGTGTAGATACCAAGTCAATGTGAACTCTACTTAATATTTGGCCCAATGTTTTGGACCCTTTGTGCCATACAGAAATACTGGCTTTGTATGGGAATGAGTACAACAGGGTATGGGTTCACCAAGGAAAGCCTTTAAGTTATACTACCCATTCAACCATAACATACTTCAAGCAGCTGGAGAATGAAATAAGTATTCATGCTATCCAATAAAAATATTTACCATCCAAGTCACTAGATGCAGCATCTATGGATATCCGTGTGTTTGAACTGTATCAATGTCCTTGAATATTAGCTAGGATATGGAATGCATACAGTGGTAAAGTTTGGAAAAGACAGCCTTATAATAAATTCTTCTGCAGAGAAAACTGTGTTTCATGGCTTATTGTTAATATGCATGGTCATCAGACAGAGCATGGCTAGATGTGGCAATATGAACTGTAACAACATGGTATGGTTCTAAGATTGTTCTAATATAATGTACTTAACCTTTGTAGCTGCCTTACAAGGGAATGATCACCACTTCATGTTATTATCACTAACTCAAATATTACTTTAACAATGTTCCAACTGCTTCTAGATATAAGCCATACAATCTAAAATGACTTGTGTGTATATAAATCATGTTACTAAGTCTCAATCAGGCAACTAAAACTTTCAGATTTTTTTAAAACTACATTACTTCGTTTTATGTCATTATTGTGCATGGTATATTTATTTCAACATTTTACAAAAATACTAGGCTCTTGCTATAATTTATGTGTTATTTTAGAATAAATTATCTTACTTTCAAGAATGGATACTTTTTTTTTCATGTCAACAATAGATTATATCTTATTTACACGTGTTTTCATATTAACTAGCATAGCAAACTTTCTTGAATTTATTGGTTAATGTGTCATTTCAATCATTAATTAGAACTGTTAGTAAAATGAGAAAAGGATCTCCATAAAATATTCTTCAGTGAAATACAGAGTTTATAATTAACAAATGATTGTATTATACACATAAAGAACATTATTTTTATAAAATATGAACAAGTTTTCTTTGTTATATACATCAAACACTGTAAACAAGTCACCTTGTGTGTATTGTTTTGAAATATATGTTGCAAAATATTGTTACAAATAATTTAGTGCTTATCAACTAAAACATACCAGATTCAGTAGAGAAAAAAAAAGATGAAGCACTAGACAAAATAAAAGATGACAGAAATTGTATGGACAATAAATCCTACGCAAATATGCTAACAGGTACATTGTAAACACATAACAATAAAGTGAGGATAAAGCAGGAAAAACAAATCTAGAAACTGCCAAAAAATATAACGTATTGTTGTACCACAAAGACAATGCTGCACAAAGAAAAAGATTAAAAGAAAGACATATATATTATAGTTAATTTTAAATGCATCCAAAAAATCATCAACTTCAGAAAAAATTGAGCTGCAATTGAAAAATAATAATAATAAACAAATTCAAAATAAAAGTTAAAAATTCCTTAAATGGTTTTGAATCTTCACTTTTTTATGCATGTTCTACAAAAGTCATAAATAGTTAAAAATAACTTTAAGCTTATGAAAAAAAACTTTCAATATAAGGACTTACCTTGAATGTTATTTCAGCAAGACATCGAGGACACTTGATGTAAAATCTAAAAATTTTTATTCCCAAATATTCTTCATTTTCAACAGTTTCTTTTCGTGCATTAAACTTTTTTCCCTTGTAAATATACTCACCACATGTCGTACACCTGAAAACAAAAAACACCTTTATTATGTAGAACACTTTTTAGTGAAGAAATGCTACTTACAGAAAATGTTTTTATGACGAAAAGCCAGTATCCATAGCTATAATGCTAAGTAACTGGTATTATCAAAAACCATTAAGAGAAAGGACTGAAGTTTTGTTGTACATATCCATTTTGAAGTGAATCATTAATTCATAAATTACAAAACCTACAATATTTGTTAATACACTATTAAGTGACATGTAAACAAGGTATTCAAAAATGATAAAGCTAGGCATTTAACCCAAATTAATTGATTACTTAGGAACATTGATTACACCAATCTCATGTAAAATAATTAATTATATGAAATTATATTTATATTGATTAATGTCACAAAAATAATCAATAACTCTATATCAAGGTACCATCTGCCTACCACAAGA